ACACTTCACTAGCAAGAAAACAGTTAAACAGACAATCTGCATAAGTATAAAGAATGAGCCTCCTCCATTCAGCCTCTTTACTTCTTCTTTACTTTACTTTTACTCTTTACTCCTTTACTTTAGTGAGTACGGAAACAGTGTTGTACACACTCCACTCAAGACATCCATTTGCCTACATATTTAATTTCGTTTAAGAATAAAGATTTGTTTCAAAACTATTTCTGATGTCAGTTCTAATTTCCAGCAAATTAATAATTGAACAGTAATGACGAAAAACTGAGTTATATCAAAACACACGTCCTATTCTTATGCCCCATATGGTCATGGCTTCTTCAAAAAAAATTATATGCAAACTGTCATGAATAAACTGAAAAAGCCCCCAGACATGAGGGCATATAGTTAGGGGTTTTTATATTTATGTAGAAAATAATAATTTTTGTAACATTTTAATTGTTTTAATTGTCCTTTAATTTTTTCATATGTAAAGATATCCGTGTATTGCTGAACATCACGTGTATTAAGCAATGTGTTAGCAGTTGGACCTGCGTAGGCAAATAACTAACACGCTCTGCCCTGGAATTTAGAGCAGCTTTTAGTTGGTCAATGGCACAGTCTATTTCAGTTCCTCAAAATAGCAACACCCCAACAATGCACCTTAACACACCTCCTTTATAGACTGGCACACCCATGAGTCAACAAAGTAGCACAAATGGATTTGCTTATTAAATAACATTGCGCTGGACTGAAAATAACAACTAATCATGCCAAACACGTCTTGCGCCTTATGTGGCAGGTGTATGATACGGCCCATAGTGTTTTCTGTTCATTTACAGTTCTGCATTTGATAACTTTTATTGTTGAAAATGTTACTCTGCTGCTTAATGTAAGTTTAAAGTTACTTTATTTTACATTTTAATAGTCTAGGTTGGTTATTCAAATAAATAAGCTAACAGTAATAAGCTGACATTTTTTTTGACAAGAATGTTTATTTGGATTTATATGGATTTATTGCTTAGATTGTATTTAAAAATGATTATTACATATTTACCATGCCATTATTGCAAAGATTGCATTTAGTTGATCAAAAATGACAGTAAAAACAGCAATATTGTATAATATAATTTTTCAATAAGTTTAATAACAAAAAATATTTTTATACTTTTTATTTTCATTTCAAGTATTGATAGATTGCTTTTTTGTCATGTTGTTTTTTCATATCCATTCATAATGTAAAACGCCAGTGTAAACTAAAAGAAAACTAGAAATCAAACTATTTAAAGAACATTTTGTGTGTGTGTGTGTGTGTGTGTGTGTGCGTGTGCGTGTGCGTGTGCGTGTGTGTGTGTGCGCGTGCGTGCGTGTGTGTGCGTGTGTTTTAGTGTTGGTTTTCCATTTGAATTTTGTGCACACAGACTTAAATAAATGTATATTTAATGTAATGATTATGTATAAATGAGAAACTTTAGAGACAGCTGATTTAATCCACTTTTTTACATAATACATACGCTTGCATGTGTATGTATATGAGACTCGGTTTCCATCTTATTTATGTTTTTGCACTCTACAGATTGCAGTCAGATTGGGAACATAACTCAAGTTCAATTCAAGCATCTTTACATCATTACCATAATTCCTTTAGTGAAGTTGGTGCTAAAACAGACACTTTATGGACCGTTAAAATAAACGATGCCATTATTTCAGCAGGTGCTTTTTGTTCCTTGACCAGTTCCCCTTATGTGCCATATGAATTTGCTGTTTAAGCAAAGCACTTTTCTATAGAGATGCATGTTTTGAAACGTTAGCCAATGTAATTTTGCTATTTTTCCTGAGTAATTTTATATAATTTGATTACCTGTGATTCCCACCAAAAAAAAGATGTAGTACAAAACAATCCGTCTGTTGCAGAGCGGCGATTTGGGACACCTGAGCAATCCCAGAATCCAATATGTTTTTGTATGTCATGATAACAGATAGCGTTAGCTCTAGTGTTCTCTGCGGGATCTGGGTGATTGAGTTAATGCATTTAGCTGTGCTTTGGGTCGTAGCTTATTCACTTCATTAAATGCTTGAGAGGATGGATTTCTAGGTCACAGCTATTGTAGCTTATGAAAAGCTTAATGCGTTAGCATATTAGCTTGAGATCAAATAAAGATAAATATAATTTTACAATCTTACATGTCCATAGCCTTTAATCTTTTCCTTTCTTCACTTTCTCTAAAGCATTTAATCTCCCTCCATTTCTCCCTTTCCCTCCTCTACATTTCCCAAATTTACTCGCTGCCTTTATTTGAATGTCTGTGTTTAATAGTGTGGCTGTAAATTGCCTCATTGCCATAGATTTAAAAACAATGATAAAACCTCTGGTTTCTATTTGTCCCCCATTTTGTTTCCCATCCGTATTCTGTGCCTTTGTTTGAATGCCTGTTTAATAGTGTGCCTTTAAGAGCCTCATTGCCATAGTTCCCCATGGAAGCACTCAAAGCATTAGACCTGCTCGTAGCCGTTAGCTTTCCCTTTCCTTACAGAGAATAGTGGACAGTGATGTATTTGCTGTGTAGTGTCAGAACAGTGTTAAGCTCAGGTCATCATCTCTTTATAGTCGTTCGGGCACATGAATGGAGCTGGTGGTCAACCAGAGGGACGGGATGCTGGATTTCTGCTTTCTGGCAGTGATGATGACAGGTGCACATGATCAGATGCTGCTGGCATTCTCAGATGAAGGACAAAATAAAGTCTTAGTTAAAGTGATGCTTGTCCTTAAGACCTCCTTGATTAAACTGACTGTTCAACGCAATCTCAAGGTAATTCGTAACTTTTTGATTTATTGGCTAATTCGTATGAACTCGTACGATCTAATTCATAAAATTTAGTGCGATTTGCTCATCACCCAATGACGGTTGAGGTTAGGGGTAGGGTTGGGTGCCACGCCTCCTTTTTTAAATGGTGTATTTTCGTACGGCTCAACTCGTACGAATTCGTACAAATTAGCCACTAAACTGACAAAACGTGAAATACTTGCGTTTCGTGAGATCAGGCTGGACTATTTGGATAATTAAAAAAAATGTATGAATATTATTTTGGATATGTACGCACTGCTGTCAATAGTAAGGGTTTTGTGTTCACTGGGGATGTTTGATCAGAATAAATTAAGAGAAAGTAATTCTGTGTAAAGGCCTCACAGCTAAAAGGTCACAGGTATGAGCATCGGCTGGGCTTCCTTTGGGTGCTCTGGTTTCCCCCATAAGTCCAAAGACATGCGCTAGGTGAATTCGGGAAGCTAAATTGTCCGTAGTGTATGCGCATAAACGAGTGTATGGGTGTTTCCCAGCTTTTCCCAACTTTATCAAATGAAATGAGTGTAGTTAACTCAAAATTGACTGAATGTTAATTCTAACCACTGGAAAAGAGTTTTGAACTCAACGTTGACGGTAATGAGTTTATTTAAGTTGAAGTAATTTGGTATTTAATTGAGTAAGTTCACAGTACTCATTAGGATTAGTTTTTGAACTTAAATGGTTTGTAGCAATCGGTTTCCTCAAATAGTTACCTTAACTTATAGAGTTTTACTTATTGAGTTTTACAGTGTTTACATGATGCCTGACAGCATATGTTTTAGGTCATTGTAACTTATCAAACTAAGTTAATCATGTTCTAACTTAATTTTATAAGTTACAGAAGCTGTTTTAAGTCAGTCTAACATAATTAAATAATTCATTTTCTTGTCGGCTTAGTCCCTTTATTAATCCAGGGTCGCCACAGCGGAATGAACCGCTAACTTATACAGCAAGTTTTTATGCAGCGGATGCCCTTCCAGCCGCAACCCATCTCTGGGAAACATCCACACACACACATTCACATACACTCATACACTACGGACAATTTAGCCTACCCAATTCACCTGTACCGCATGTCTTTGGACAGTGGGGGAAACCGGAAAACCCGGAGGAAACCCACACGAAGGCAGGGAGAACATGCAAACTCCACACACAAACACCAACTGAGCCGATGTTCAAACCAGCGACCCAGTGACCTTCTTGCTGTGAGGCGACAGCACTACCTACTACGCCACTGCCTCGCTCCAGTCTAACATAATATAAGTTCATATGGTTCATAAGGTTAATTTGATTCAGCTTAAAATTTTAAAGCAACCAGGATTTTTTTTACAGTGATTATAAACAACAATAATATTCAGATTATGCTGCAATTTAAAAGGGGAACTTGTTCATTTAGGTTTACTAGGAAAGTTAGGTAAATTAGGCTACTCGGGTAAATTAGAGAGATCATGTTTATGGCACAACAGTGGTCATTAGAAAACATTTCTTATGGGTGCTAATAATATTAACCTTAATACATATAAAATTAATTTATATATAAATATAAATTAAAAAACAATCATTTTATTCTAGCTAAAATAAATAATACATTCTCCAGAATTAAAGATATTATTGGAAATGCTGTGAAAAAAATTCCTTGCTCACTTTTGATAAAATATCTACATTTTACAGGTCTGATCATTCATTCATTCATTTTCCTTCGGCTTAGTCCCTTTATTCATCAGGGGCCGCAACAGGGGAATGAACTGCAAACTTATCCAGCATATGTAATACACTGCGGATGCCCAGCTGCAAACCAGTACTGGAAAATATCCATACACACTCACTTACACACTATGGCCAATTTAGGTTATTCAATTCACTTATAACGCATAGGTCTTTGGACTGTGGGGAAAACCGGAGCACCTGGAGGAAACCCACGCAGGAACAGGGAAAACATTCCAACTCCACTCAGAAATGCCAACTGCCCCATCCGAGACTTGAACCAGTGACCTTCTTGTTGTGAGGCAACAGTGTTAACCACTGAGCCACTGTGTCGCCTAGGGTTAATATTGTATAACTTTAAGTTTAGAAATTCAACTTTAAGTCTTTCAGACATAAGTGCCCACATGTGCCAATCTAACAATGCAAGTACATTAAAAACAATGCTGTTGTTGGCTTTTGCAGGTATGATTATGTGGAGGTGGAGGAGCCTGTTGGAGGGATGGTGTTAGGTCGTTGGTGTGGATCAGAGATGGTTCCGGGGCCCCAGTTGTCCAAGGGGAACCAAATCCTGGTTCGCTTTGTCTCTGACGAATACTTTCCCTCAGACCCAGGATTCAGCATCCGCTATTCTTTGCTTCAACAGGTAATCAATGACTCATTTGCTATTTTATATAATGCTTGTTTTGTTAATCCCTAATGACCCACAAATTATCTCTCCATCTAATGAAATGAAATACATAATTTGAGATAATCAGAGCTTACACTTAGTGCTTGTCCCCTTCGGGCTCTGTTTATACTTGGTATTAAGATGTGGTTTTGTTAATCCCATCACAAGTAGACGACACTAAATGCATGTACTGTATGGATGAAGTCTGAAATATTTTGAGCTTGTCCACTTTCAATTACTTCCTGAAAATATGTTTGATCACATTGATTTTGCAGTGGAAATTCTCATGTGGTTAAATCAGAGCTGGTCCTATAGTCTTCTTAGGCAAAACTCTAAGCAAAACTTTAAAGGTCCTGCAAAGTGCTTTGAAATGTGCATTTTTTTATTCAATGTGGGAAAGTTCAAGAGCATATAGAAATAACGTATTAAAGGTAGTGGGGCATGTGAGATACTATAGAGCATTTGATTGTTAAGAAGATTTGAAACTGAAGTATGAGCTGACATCAAAAACATCAGTGATCACTTAAGACAAACCGCAAGCTTTGGATATTTATATCTTAATGTGAATTTTATCACTGTTAAGGCGCACACTAGATTGTAGATATCCTAAGACTAACTTACTGGGCCATATCATACACCCGGCGCAATAAGGTGCAAGACTTGTTTGCCGCGATTGGTTGCTCTTTTAAACTACAACTACCTTAATTTTCCTGTTTTGCACCACGTTGTTTAAATAGCAAATTTATTTGTGACACTTTGTGAACTCATGGGTGTGCTGGTCTAGAATGGAGGTGTGTTAAGGTGCATTGTTGGAGCAATGCTATTTTGAGGAACTAAAATAGACTGTGTAATAGACCAGCTGAAAGCAGTTCTAAAGCGCAGCACAGAGCATGTTAGTTGTGCGCCATGTTAGTTGTAAACACTTACACATTGCTTAATACACACCGAATGTAGATCAAAATACAGATATATTTACAAATTAAAAAGAATTAATGGATTAAAATATCCGAAAATTATTACTTACCATATAAATAAAAAACCACTGCCTCCATGCCTTCATCTCGTGGGCTTTTTTCTGTTTATTCATGACAATTTGCTTTTGAATAATATTATTCGTAGTAGTAGTAGTATTTATTATATGCATATTTATTTATTTATTATTAAAAACGAGCTTAGATTTGTCCACCTGTGAGGTTTTGAACCATATGGGGCATAGGACTGTGTTTGGAACAAACAAAACTAAATATGGAGGCTAATGAATGAGAAAGAGAAAGTAAAGAGGCCAAATGGAGGAGGCTCCTTCTTTATCCTCGCGCTGCAGATGGTCTGTTTAATTCTTTTCTCGCCAGTGAAGCGTTCCCTTAAAGCAGCCTTAATGCTTTTGCACCATGCACTTCAGACTTTGCTCCTAGATTGTTAAAATAGAGCCCACATACTGTATACTAACGTTTAAAAAAAAAAAAAAAAACTTTATTCTAATTTGCTAGGGCTCCTACATTAATAATAACTCCAAAATGAGCCCCAATTCTTTAATCTATTTTTAGAGCAGTTTTCAGGTCAACAAGCAACCAATTCTTGTTTATCATATTAACATTAACTGACTGTCACTTTAAGACCTAATAGTCTTAAATAACAGATATATACTCGCAAACATAGGATTGGTTTCATTACTGTTCGGTCCTATTTTATCATCTTTGAGAGCATGTTTGAGACCCACTTAAATTCCACAATGTGGAGAAAACAGACAAAATCACATAATCTAGTTATAAGTTAAATTAAATTGAACGGATCAGAAAAGTTATTGTCATGTACGCATGGAAATGCACAGCTTTTTCATTAATAAACACCAAAATAAAATATAGTTTAGGTCGATTTTTTTTAATAAAAATGTCAATAATTACCAGATTAAAGTCTGAATAAATCATCAATTTGTATGGGTTTCTTGATTTCAATTAATTTCACATGTTGAATTTAATTTGAATTTTGAATACTAAAATATCTTTTCACTATTTAAATGAAGTCTAGAAAACAAAAAACTGAATGAATAAAAACGTATTTGGGGGAAAAAAAAACTAAATAGAATTCATAGTATAATTAAACTTAAAAAAACTAGTGATAATTCAGTTCAAGTTTATTCACATAACTTTTTTTTTCTCAACTTTCATTCCAGAGCAGATTTAGAACAGGTACAACAAAAAAATCCTAAAGTGTCATGAAACCCCTCTCTTTCAGTTCAACTCTACCTCAGAATTTTTCTCAAACCATGAGGAGACAGATTTTATAGTTTACAATGTTAAAATGAAATAAAAATAAACAGTAATTTAATGTCCTTCAACATATATTATTATTTATAATTTCATATAATATATATATATATATATAACCACAATCTGTTATATCGTTATGAAGATAATCATGATGTAAACACTATAAATGAAGAGTACTTCTCTCCTCCTTTATCCCCGGGTCTGAATGCAGACACAGTGGATAGCAGTGCAGCGGGTCTCTTGCCTTATCTATTTCAACCATTAACCCTGCGGTAATCTGGAGGATTTTAAACATGGGCAGCAGCTCCGTTGTGTGTCTGAATGGTAACAAACTCAACTGATAAAAGACAAAGTCTGCCATTCTCCAATTCTTGTACAGCTCTCCAAATAAAATACAACACACACAACCCTCCATGAATGGCTAAATACTACAGTCTCACAGCTTGTCGGGTCTGTCTTCGGTAAGCATGTGCAGTCATGAATAAGAAGCAGGGTCTTCTAATGGGATAAGAAAACTCAGCTAAAAAGAATAATGAGAAACTGACACGTCATCAAATCACTAGCAGATTTGTGCTTCGTTATCCATTTTGATCCCGCCCTACTAAAGATTTTAAACCCAGTAGATGAAATTATTTTCCAAAAGCTTATAATTATCCAGGTTTATCCAAAATTGAAACTAACAGTGGCTAACATTGTCTTAAATGATGCTCTACACACACAAACCTGTTAAAATAAAAAAATAAAAAATAAAATAACTACTCAAGGGCTTTTTGAACCCTTAAGAATCATTATATCCATTTTGTTACATTCTTTTATATCCATTATTATAATTTATTTATGCATCTGTTGGCGTAATTACCATCCCTTCTTCTGAAATGATCTGGCAACCTGAAATGGCACTTACTAAGTTGGAAATTTCAAGTTATAATCATATTCCTACCTCAGAGACCTTCTCCTCAATGTTTCACTTCATGTGGTGATGAAAACCACAGCGGACCGGGCTACGGTGTTTTCCACCTTGGCCATGGTTCAGTTTCCTCCCTTTAATTTACACCCTGACAGGCGTCACACGGCACATTTGAAAAGGATTATTCCCCTGAAATGATTTAATAGACATGCTTGGCTTTGATGTGTGATGCCTGTCAAAGTTTTATGACTCCACTTTCCCTCACATTTGTTTACTGAGCCTTCAGAGCATGTCTGAACGCTTTGCTACGTTGATCCAAAATGGCTCTCATTGTTTTCCATGAACAAAGGTGTGCTTTATCTCCTTCTCGTAGATAATGGTTGCGTCTATTCTGCTGAAGCATCATTATTTTACCCTTAATTGTAAGGAGAGAGAGAGAGAGGGAGAGAGAGAGAGACAGAGAGAGAGAGAGAGAGGCCACCAAAATTAGACAGGACAAATGTGGCTGTGGATGAGTGTAAGGCAAAAAAAAAAAACACATATGGCACTTCCATATGCCATTTACTTCTGATCTCACGCTGCTTTTCTGTTAAAAGTGCTGATGCTGATCTGTGAATCTTTTTTATAACTGACCTGCATTTTCGCTGATTTGAGAGCAGAACGGTGGTGTAACTGACTGTGCAACCACAGAACCTGCCAACAAACAAACACACACAGCACATAGCAGTGTTTTGTTGGCAAGTTCTAATTTCAGCGATTGCTTTTTTATTGTGCAGCAAGAGTAATGTACCCAAATTTTGTATTGTGTTTAAAACTGTAAGTGTGTGTATCTGGACACTGTTTATGAATACATCTTTGGCTCTGGCTTTAATTAGAATTATTTTCAATGGCAAAACAGAAAGATAAGAAAAGTACATCTAAATTTTAAGGTTTAACATTATTAACTTGTTTGTTGAACTGCTAATTGCACTATTGTACATATGGCTAGGACTGCAACTGAGAATTATTTGATATTTGATTAGTTTAGATTATTCATTCATTCACTTTTCTTTCCTTTATTTATCAGGGGTCATCACAGTGGAATGAACCACCAAGCTTATTTTTTACTTCCAGCTGCAACCTAAAACTGGCAAACACCCATGCACTCTCATTCACACACTATCATACACTGTGCCCAATTTAGTTCACCCATAGTGCATGTCTTTGGACTGTGGGGGAAAGCCCCGTAAACATGGGGAGAACTTGCAAACTCCACACAGATTTGCCAACTGGCCCAGCCGGGGCTCGAACCAGCGACTTTCTTGCTGTGAGGTGACAGTGCAAACCACTGAGCCACCATGCCATCCCCTTTTAAATGTAATATTATCTAATACCATTTTTTCCCATAAATTTGTTGTTTACAAAGAGATTATAAAGCACAAAGAGATCATTCTGAAACCCATTTTGAATTTCCAGGCCCTGTTTCTGTTTTTAGTTGAAAACAGTGTTGTGTAAATGTAACTTTAGTTGTACAATTTCTAATATAAGCTTTCTTCTCGTGATGGGTTGCAGCTGGAAGGGTATCCGCTGCATAAGACATGCTGGATAAGTTGGCGGTTCATTCCGCTGCGGCCAATTTTGTTTACCCCTATTTACCTATACTGCATGTTTTTGGACTGGGGGGAAACTGAAACACCCAGACGAGACCCACACCAACATGAGGAGAACATGCAAACTCCACACAGAAATGCACACTGGCCTAGCCGGGACTTGAACCAGTGATCTTGCTGTGAGGCGACAGTGCTAACCACTGAGTCACTGTG